GGCATTCGGCCGCAGTCCTGGGCACAGGAGCCACTTGTGGACTTGGGTGGCAACTTCACTTCTGGGACTGCTCAGCTCTTGTCCCCTCTGGAGGCTGACGGTCATTTTTTATTCACACAGATGGAACTGCCCATCCCAGGAACGTTCAAGGAACCTGGAGCTTCCTGGGCCTCCGCTGTCTTGACCCTCCTCTCCGTGCAGGGAGCCCTCCCTGGGTTCTTTTCAGGGCCATTTGTTCCTCTTATGTAGGTTCAGTGACAAGCGGTCCACGTCCTCCTCAATCTGTCCCCCTCCCGCTTTGCAGGAAGGTCCTCTTTGGGCTTACTCCTGTGGGTCTGTGGGCTGACCACCCTCCCTCCTTGGTCTGAGCAGCCCCGACCTTGATTCTCTGTGGCAGGAGGGGCTGGGAGCCGTGGCTCCGGCCATCCTGGGTGGCCACTCCGTGCCGGTCTGCCTGATTAGGTGCGTGGGAGACGGCTGTACGCTGCGGTGGCATCGCCAGCCCACTGACCCCACGTCCTGCTCCGTGGTGGTCACCGAGCGTGACCTCATGCGCTTGGGATCCACCCGCTCTTTCTGCCGCTGACATAGTCTGAAGCCCAGTTAATGTTCTTTTTTTCTACTTAATTGAATTTTTATCAAAAATTCTCCCCTCTTTTACGCTTGTTTTGGTTCTCCTCCTGCAGCAGACAGCAATAAGCCTCATATAACCCACTTCCTACCAGGCCTTTTTGCAGGATTAGTCATTTTTAAATGACTTTAATCTCCATTTTGAAAGCGATTTCTCTACTCATTTGTGTTACATTTCTTTGATTGCATTTATTCTGGAGGGAGGGGGAAGCTGAGGGTCTGGCATGAGTCACTGTATCTCCCACTTGCTTTTCTGTGTCCCTCTCCCCAAGGAGGGAGGCAGTGTGGCCTTGTGGGTGGAAACAGTGACTGAACGGGGCTATGTGGGTTCGTATCCTGACTCTACTGCCTGCTAGCTGTGTGGTGTTGGGCAAGTTACTCAGCCTCTCTGTGCCTTGGTTTTCTCATCTGTGAATGGAAAATTTAATAATAGTACTCTTTGCGCTGTTGAGGATTGAATGGGTTAATACGTGTAAATTCTTAGAAGGATGCCTGGCACATAGTAAAATCTATGCAAATGTTTACTAGAAAATAAAAAGGTAGCTCATTGAGTGGACTTCCCTTGAACCTGCCTGCTCCCTGATTTCTGGAGTGTTCGGGTTGAGGGGATGTTGCCATAGTCTTTGCTATAATTGCACGCGTGTGTGCGTGTGCGTGTGCAGTGTCTAGCAGTCAGCATGAGGAGAGCGTTACCGCTGTAAGGAAAGGGAACCTCTCCTCTGCTGACACCCTGCAAATACACCCTGAGCCGTGGCCCCAGCTCATCTCTCCGGCCGACTTCTAGAGCACTTTGATAGGTGCCCCGAAGCAAAGTGCATTGGAGGAGGTGGGACGGAAGCAGCCATGGATGAGTGGTCTTTGAAAACAAGGCTTTAAACAGGGCATTCTGAGTTTGGGACTTTATGTGTCAACATGCCTGTTCCCTGGTTGGGCCTTTTTGGTTTAAGGAGCCTTATTTTCATTTCAGTCCAGGTGATTATCGTCTCAGCAGTTGCTCCGTTTGTTGCTCCTAGAATAATATGCTTTGCTTTAGTTTTGAAACTTGTTTGCAGAAAAATAAAACCAACCAGGCAGCTCGCAATGAGCCGTGGGTACTGTGGCACGGGGCAGGTTGAGACTCTCCTTTTCCAAGCTCAGCGGGCGAGTGGCAGATGTAGGGCCTGGGGCCGACTCGGAGATGCAGCCGGCCAAACAGCCTGGGCGTCTGGCTCATCCCGGGGGCGAGTTCCTCACCCCTCTGAGCCTCAGCCTCCTCATCTCAAAAATGGGACGTTACTGGAGACAGCCAGATCTGGCTGCTGTGAGGATTAAAAGGAATTAATTGTGATCATAGGCAGCACAATGCTGGCATGTGGGACATGCTCACTAAGTATAGCTGCTAATATTATTAGCACTAGTGGTACTAATTAGTACTAATTATTATTATTGGCAAAATGGTGCTTTCGTGGAACAGCTTTTTGCAGTATAATTTGCATACCCCAAAATTCACTTGCCTGAAGCGAGCCACGCAGCCATAGTAAGTTCGAGAGCGGTGCGAGCCTCTTTGCATTTCTGTCATTGCGGAAAGATCCCTCTTGCCTGTGTGCAGCCAGTCCCTGCCCCCGCCCCCGCCCCAGCCTCAGGCAGCTGCTAATCGGCTTTCCGTCTCCACAGATGTGCCTTTTCTGGACGTTTCATGTCAGTGGAATAAAACTGCTTTTCCACGGTACTTTTTCTCTTCTGTTCCTCATACTGGTTCCCTTTTTCAGGTGCATAGACTGAGTCTGAAAGGTTAGAGCAATGCGCAGGGCGCGTGGGAAGTGGAGCGGGGCGTGCAGACGTCTGTCCTCTGGCCCTCAGGTGGCGTGAGGTGTTTGGGAGCAAGTGGACCCGGCAGATACACCTGTCGGGCTTGTCCTGTGGGCGGGCGCCTTCCTGGCGTCCCTCGCCCACCTGTCCAGCTTTCTCCACCGTCAGCGTCCGGTGGGCTCCAGCGAGCTGCTGCGCTCTCTGGGCCTAGGCGGGCTCTTCCCCGAAATGCAAGGTGTGGGGCGGGTCCAGCCCTCCCCGTGAGGGCTCCAAGGAGACCCGGGCCCGCCTGCCCGCGAGACCTCTCCCTTTCCTACCCACGCAGGAGTGCTCGTGTTTGGCCGTGTGACCTGTGGAAGCTGGTCCAGGCCCGTGTCACGGTCAAGGGGCCTGAATGTGGAAGGACCCGGTGTTAGTAGCTGGTGCCCTTATTTCCTCAGCCAAGTCGCCGAGGCTGTGCCTCGGTCTCCTCGTCTCGGTCTCCTCGTCTGTCCGGTGGCGGTGGCCCTGGCTCCCGCCTCGTCGGCGGTTGTGAGAAAGCGCTTGGCAGAGCGCTGGGCACTCGGGAAGGCCTCAGTGGCAGCTTGAGTGAGTGTGAGCTCAGACATCAAGATGATAAAAAGCCAGTCCAGCCTGGCAGGGGTGGGGGCCAGGCAGGTCCCCCAGCTCCAGCCGCCTCCTCCCTCGGGTCCCTTTTGTCTGCGCCCCGCAGAGCCCAGCTGGCAAGAGCTGGGAATTAGCAGGCAGGGGGTCGGGCGCCTCCCGCCGCGGCTCATCTGGGGAGCTGACGGTGGCTGCATCCTTCCCGCTTGAAGGGCCCCGTGATGTGAGGCCCCCAGGGGAGAAGGCGCCCTTGCCCCTGGAGGGGGTTCCGGAAGGCGCGAGCTGGGCTGGGCGTGGGGCTTCAGAGGCAGGGTGGCTGTCAGGAGACTCGGAGCTGGGAGCCTCGGAGAGCGGCATCCAGGCTGAGATTTGCGGGCGGTGCCACCTAGGGTCAGGTAGGTCTTTACACGGTGAGCACTGGAGGGCCTAGGAGAGCCAGGGGGTGGGTGGGCCTAGGAGCAGGCTCAGCACCAGCTGTGAGGGCCCCTCAAGACCCTCCGGTCAGCAGTCTGGGGCTGGCAGCTGGTGCGGGGGGCTGGCAGGGAACCGTGGGTCTGCGATTGTGAGTTGTGTGTCGGCAGGCGAGTGCGTGCACGGAGGGCAGAGTTTACGTGGGCGATCGTGCGCGTGTGCGGGTGTGAGCGCACGCGTGTGCCAGTGCTCCCCGTGCTGGGAACGCGTGCGCCTGCGCCTTTCCTTCCTGAGGGTCTGGGCTGCCCCGGCCTGGGTTACGTCTGGGTTACGTCCGTGAGGCTTTTTTGAGACTCCGGCAGGCAGGCCGAGGCTGGCGGCTGCAGAGGTGGGGACGGTGGTTGTTTCCTCGGGGTTACCAGGGCAAGGTCGAGCCAAATCTGAGCTTTTGTTTGTCTCTCCCCTGCCCGCAGCAGCCTGCGGCCTGTTTCATTCATTATTAAGTTTTAAATCCGCCTGCCCGAAGAGAAACTTGAGACCCTGCACTCACCCCTTGCTTGGGCTGGCTGCTTTCGACAAGGTGGGGGACTCCGGGGGCTTCCTGGGCTGTGTCCTGTGTGCTTTTGTTTTCCCAGGACCGCCAGCCCTTAGGTTTGTTTAGGTTTTCCCTGAGGATGGGTGAGGCTGGATGGGCCAACGAGGGGGGACGGTCCCCAGGGAGGGAGGGAGGGACGCACAGAGCCTCTTCCTCGCCTCAGGGCTCCGAGCTCTGTGGCTGTCTGCATCCTGGTCCTTCCCCTGTTCACCGGACCCCGAGGCCATATCCCGAGGTCCCTGGTGGGCTTGGGGGGCGTGGAAACAAAGAAACAAAGAAAACAGCCCCCTCAGGATGGTCTGGGCTGGGGAATGCGTCCTCGGTGCCCTAGGCTACTTCCTGCTTCCTGTCTGAGCTGGAGTCTGATGTCACCGTGCCTTGTGGTTTCGCACCTCCTGAGGTGTCTTGTCCACTACCTGAGACGCAGTTCCTGCTTCACCGGCTCCCCCGTCCCCAAAGAATGCGCAGCCTGGGACGATTCAGTAAAGGGCTGTTTTATTGTTTTTTGGCAAAATTTTGCCCATGCCCCTAAGGACCAGCGGGATTTCCCTCCAGGGTTGGGGGCTGGAGGGCGTTGATCAGGTGAGGGGACTTGTCCTCCGTTTGGCCTATGGGACTGATGGGCTGTGAGGTCATTTCTGGTGACTTTGTCCAGGCTGTGCCTCCTTTCCCCATCAGGGAAGTGGCCAGAGTCTCACCTCTGGTGGGGGTGGGGGTGCCACGTCCAGGCCCCTGCAGGTGTTGCTGAGGGAAAGGCCATTTCCCTGCCGTAACCTGCCGCCCCTCTGCCGTGTCCTCTGCCGGTGGGAAGGCCCTCGTGTCCACTCGCTTCCGGCCCCCGCCCCTCCCGCCTCCCCGCGCAGTTGGCCAGCTGCACAGCCTCAGCCCGCCCGCTGTCGAGAAGCTGGCTCTGTCCTTGTTTCTCGGCAGCCCTGGGAATTGCCTCTAATCTCCTCCCTGCCTCCCCCTGCAGATGGTGATGACGACCCACAACTCTCCTGGGTGGCCTCGTCTCCCTCCAGCAAGGATGTTGCGTCACCCACGCAGATGATCGGAGATGGCTGCGACCTCGGCCTCGGCGAGGAGGAAGGGGGCACGGGCCTGCCGTACCCTTGCCAGTTCTGCGACAAGTCCTTCATCCGCCTGAGCTACTTGAAGAGGCACGAGCAGATCCACAGCGACAAGCTGCCGTTCAAGTGCACCTACTGCAGCCGCCTCTTCAAGCACAAGAGGAGCCGTGACCGGCACATCAAGCTGCACACGGGCGACAAGAAGTACCACTGTCACGAGTGCGAGGCGGCGTTCTCCCGCAGCGACCACCTCAAGATCCACCTGAAGACCCACAGCTCCAGCAAGCCCTTCAAGTGCACCGTGTGCAAGCGCGGCTTCTCCTCCACCAGCTCGCTGCAGAGCCACATGCAGGCCCACAAGAAGAACAAGGAGCATCTGGCCAAGTCGGAGAAGGAAGCCAAGAAGGACGACTTCATGTGCGACTACTGCGAGGACACCTTCAGCCAGACCGAGGAGCTGGAGAAGCACGTGCTCACCCGCCACCCGCAGCTCTCGGAGAAGGCGGACCTGCAGTGCATCCACTGCCCCGAGGTCTTCGTCGACGAGAACGCGCTGCTCGCCCACATCCACCAAGCCCACGCCAACCAGAAGCACAAGTGCCCCATGTGTCCCGAGCAGTTCTCCTCGGTGGAGGGCGTCTACTGCCACCTGGACAGCCACCGACAGCCTGACTCCAGCAACCACAGCGTCAGTCCCGACCCCGTGCTGGGCAGCGTGGCCTCCATGAGCAGCGCCACGCCTGACTCCAGTGCCTCCGTGGAGCGGGGCTCCACCCCGGACTCCACCCTGAAGCCGCTGCGGACACAGAAGAAGATGCGGGATGACGGGCAGGGCTGGTCCAAGGTGGTCTACAGCTGCCCCTATTGTTCCAAGCGGGACTTCAACAGCCTGGCCGTGCTGGAGATCCACCTGAAGACCATCCACGCGGATAAGCCCCAGCAGAGCCACACGTGTCAGATCTGCCTGGACTCCATGCCCACCCTCTACAACCTCAACGAGCACGTGCGCAAGCTGCACAAGAACCACGCCTACCCCGTGATGCAGTTCGGCAACCTCTCCGCCTTCCACTGCAACTACTGCCCCGAGATGTTCGCGGACATCAACAGCCTGCAGGAGCACATCCGCGTCTCCCACTGCGGCCCCAACGCCAACCCGCCCGACGGCAACAACGCCTTCTTCTGCAACCAGTGCTCCATGGGCTTCCTCACCGAGTCCTCCCTCACCGAGCACATCCAGCAGGCCCACTGCAGCGTCGGCAGTGCCAAGCTGGAGTCTCCGGTCATGCAGCCCACGCAGTCCTTCATGGAGGTCTATTCCTGCCCCTACTGCACCAACTCGCCCATCTTCGGCTCCATCCTGAAGCTCACCAAGCACATCAAGGAGAACCACAAGAACATTCCGCTGGCCCACAGCAAGAAGTCCAAGGCAGAGCAGAGCCCGGTGTCGTCTGACGTAGAGGTGTCTTCCCCTAAGCGGCAGCGGCTCTCGGCGAGCGCCAACTCCATCTCCAACGGCGAGTATCCTTGCAATCAGTGCGACCTCAAGTTCTCCAACTTTGAGAGCTTCCAGACACACCTGAAGCTGCACCTGGAGCTGCTGCTGCGGAAGCAGGCGTGCCCACAGTGCAAAGAGGACTTCGACTCCCAGGAGTCCCTCCTGCAGCACCTGACGGTGCATTACATGACCACGTCGACGCACTACGTGTGCGAGAGCTGCGACAAGCAGTTCTCCTCGGTGGACGACTTGCAGAAGCACCTGCTGGACATGCACACCTTTGTGCTGTACCACTGCACCCTGTGTCAGGAGGTCTTCGACTCCAAGGTGTCCATCCAGGTGCACCTGGCGGTGAAGCACAGCAACGAGAAGAAGATGTACCGCTGCACGGCCTGTAACTGGGACTTCCGCAAGGAGGCCGACCTGCAGGTGCATGTCAAACACAGCCACCTGGGCAACCCGGCCAAGGCACACAAGTGCATCTTCTGCGGGGAGACCTTCAGCACCGAGGTGGAGCTGCAGTGCCACATCACCACGCACAGCAAGAAGTACAACTGCAAGTTCTGCAGCAAGGCCTTCCACGCCATCGTCCTGCTGGAGAAGCACCTGCGGGAGAAGCACTGTGTGTTTGATGCCACGACCGAGAATGGCACGGCCAACGGGGTGCCCCCTACGGCCGCCAAGAAGGCCGAGCCCGCTGACCTGCAGGGCATGCTGCTTAAGAACCCCGAGGCGCCCAACAGCCACGAGGCCAGCGAGGACGACGTGGATGCGTCGGAGCCCATGTACGGCTGTGACATCTGCGGGGCGGCCTACACCATGGAGGTGCTGCTGCAGAACCACCGGCTGCGGGACCACAACATCCGGCCGGGCGAGGACGACGGCTCGCGCAAGAAGGCCGAGTTCATCAAGGGCAGCCACAAGTGCAACGTCTGCTCACGGACCTTTTTCTCGGAGAACGGGCTCCGGGAGCACCTGCAAACGCACCGGGGCCCTGCCAAGCACTACATGTGTCCCATCTGTGGCGAGCGCTTCCCCTCACTGCTGACGCTCACCGAGCACAAGGTGACCCACAGCAAGAGCCTGGACACGGGCACCTGTCGCATCTGCAAGATGCCCCTGCAGAGTGAGGAGGAGTTCATCGAGCACTGCCAGATGCACCCCGACCTGCGCAACTCACTCACGGGCTTCCGCTGCGTGGTCTGCATGCAGACGGTCACCTCCACGCTGGAGCTCAAGATCCACGGCACCTTCCACATGCAGAAGCTGGCAGGCAGCTCGGCCGCGTCCTCCCCCAACGGGCAGGGGCTGCAGAAGCTCTATAAGTGTGCCCTGTGCCTCAAGGAGTTCCGCAGCAAGCAGGACCTGGTGAAGCTCGACGTCAACGGGCTGCCCTATGGCCTCTGTGCTGGCTGCATGGCCCGCAGTGCCAACGGACAGGTGGGCGGCCTGGCTCCGCCCGAGCCCGCTGACCGGCCCTGTGCTGGCCTCCGCTGCCCCGAGTGCAGCGTCAAGTTTGAGAGTGCTGAGGACCTGGAAAGCCACATGCAGGTGGACCACCGCGACCTCACGCCAGAGACCAGTGGGCCCCGGAAAGGTGCCCAGACGTCGCCAGTGCCCCGGGTAAGTGCCGCCCGCGTGAACCTGCCCCTGCTCCGCGGGCTCCACGGATGCCCGCCGGAGCCGCACAGCCTGAGCGCCGTATTTCCTGGCGGTGCTCCCTTTAGTAGCCCAGAGAGGCAGCGCCGCGGCGCGCCCTGCGGTGGTTGAGCACATCTGCTCTGGGCAGCCTCCTCGAGTTTGACCCACAGTGTTGCCATTTCCTTCCCAGCCGTGTGAATTGTTTGTCTCTCTGGGCCTCGTTTGTCAAGTGCTCATCTGTAAAATGAGAATAACAACCGTCCCAACTTCGTAGAACTGTTGTGGGGGCCAGTGACACAGGTAAAGTGGCTGGCGCGGTGGCCGACGCGTGGTGAGCGCTCTGTCGCTGCCGGCTGGCACTGCTGCTGTTGATCTGAGGACTTCATCGTTTGCTTCCTGGGTCTCCCTAACTTCATTGGGCCTTAGATCCGGCATTCTTTTGACAATTCGTGCAGATAACACACGTATTTGAAGGGCGGAGAACCTGGCGCTCAGCGCTCACTCACGCTAGTTGTATCCCCAGCTGATGTCACCCACGGCGTCATTAAAGTCAGTGCAGTTGCTGGTGTGTGCAAGGCCCTTAGAAATGGTTCGATTGCTGTTATCATTAATGATTGATAGATTGATTCATTCATCAAATTTTCCCTGAACGCCTATTATGCTTGGAGGTGCCTGGGAGCCAGGGAGAACTAGAAACGGCCCCGTCTTGTGGGCTCGTGGGGACCAGAGGGAGCCACAGGCCCACAGCAGGTGGCGTTCAATGAGGCAGAGGAAGTCTGGGCTCTTGGTGGGTCCACACAGGCCTTGGCTACAGGGGCTGAGAGCCCCCCGATGGTGCGCCTGGAGCCCACATGGCCCTTGGGTGTTAGACAGCGCAGGCCCGGGGGTTCCCACTGGGTCTGCGTTGTCTGTCTCCAGACTGAGGAGGTGCCAGGTCGGTCTCAGAAGCATCTTTCCCTCCGGGGCTGCTGCTGGCGCCATTGGCAGGGAAGCAGGATTTGGGGAAGGGGCACCTGCCACAGGTGCCTGCTGGGGCACAGAGATGTTTGCTGGGGGTGTTTGGCCTCGGGACCAGAACTAGGGCCTGTGCCCCGGGATTTTGAGGGGCAAAGGGGACAGAGGGAGAGAAGAGGGCTGGAGAGAGTGAAGGAGAATCCCGCAGGGGAAGGGACCTTAGAGCCTTCTGCCCAGCCCCTGGTGCTGCGCATGGCCCCACGGAAGCCCAGTGAGCCCAAGGGACCCGTCCAAGGACACCTGGCCAGGGAGAGGAGCACCTGAACGAGGACAGAGCCACGTGTAGGGTATCCAGTAGGACACTCTTCAGAGGTCCTGAGCGTGGACACCGGTCACCACTGCCCAGCCTATGCTTGCTGGTTGGCCCAGGTCTTGGGGAATAGTCTTGGGGAGCATTTGGGTCCTGGAGTCAGATGGCCTGGGTTAAAATCGCCCTCTCCAAGGACCCAGCTGTGACTTGACTTCTCTGGGCCTCCGTCCTGCCCTGCAAAGCCAGTGGGTCACAGTAATGGTAATTAATAGTGATGGTAGCAGTAGTAAGACTCATGTCCAGCTCCAGAGTCAACATCACCTGGGGGTCATCACCTGGGGGCCGGGTTGGTGTCTTTCTGGTTTTTTAACCCGCGTCTGCTCTGACTGGTCAGTGCCGGGTCCTCACAGCTGTTAAGTATCGTGGCCGTTGCCTGTGCTGACCCCAGGGTTTTGCTCTGAGGATTAAATGAGTCGGTTAAGTGCCAGGTACACAGTAAACAGTCCACACCTACTGAGGGGTAAGGGTGTGCCAAGCACTTGCCATCTGTTTAATCCTCATAACTTTCCATTTTGCAAATGAGGAAACTGAGGCATAGAACCGTATAGTCATTTGCCTCAAGCCCCTGGGTCTCAAGAGGCAGAGGGGGATTTGAGCCCAGGCAGGTCGCCTCTGATGCTGCAGCCTGTGCCCTTGCCCAGGACTCTACCCAGAAACCCTGGAGCCCATCCTGGCTGCAGGAAGGGCGAGGCCGGCTGGGGTGGGGTCCGGGGCGGTCATGCCCCATGCTCAGGCTGGGGGACAGCGTGGCTGTGCTGGCCCCCGTGCCTGCTTCTTCCTGGTGTACCCCAGCCTTTTCGGCACTTTTCACCCCTCCCTTTTCGGCACTGCCCACGACCGTGCTGGGTTTCCTGACGGCCAGGGAGCTGCTTCCAGCGCCTCCAAAGCCTTGGGTGCTTTGAGCCTCCTCACTCTGCCCTGGTTCCAGCATCAAGTACCACTTTGTAAAAGCCCCTACTACGTGCAAGGTGCTCTCTTGGGTACCAACTCTTACGTCATCTCCATGGCAACATCCTGGGAGCCTTGCTGTGGCCCGTTTTGGGGATCCATACTGAGAAAGGTGTCACCACGTACCCACGGACGCACGGCTGTGCGTGGCAGTGCAGGGCCTGAAACCTGAGGGGGGCCTGTTTCCTGGGAGCCCCACAGCCTGCTTCCCCCTGCCTTCAGCTCTTGCGGGAGATGGGTGAGCTGCGTCACATCCCTGCCTACCTAGAGGCCTGGGCAGACGGGCTGTTTGCAGAAAGGAGCCAAGGCTGCCCCCGCCAAGGCAGCGTTCTCTGGGGCCCTGCCCCTGCCGGGGCACGCCTCGGGGCAGGGCCCGGCTGTCTGTTAGCTCACCCCTTCCTCCCCTAGGACTCACTCATGTAAGAATAGACTCTGGGGGCTTTACAGGGGCTTGGGGGCTGGCAGGCTGGGACCCTTGGGAGTGTTTCCATAGCAACCAGCTCTCGGAGGACTGGGTTCCCGTGGGGCCCAGGCTGCTGTCAGCTGAAACATGAAGCATTGAGTTTCTACCTCCCCGTCTGTTTATGGGTAATAACATCACCCAACGCAGGGACAGCGTGACTGTAACTTGGCCCTCCGTCCCCTCAACAGGTCCCCATGGGGCCTTCCTCTGCCAGGTGGGCGGCCTGGGTGCCCTCACAACCCATTTTACAGCCAGGTGAACACACATCCATATCAGAGGGTTTGTCTGGGTCCCACTAGCTTTCTGTCACCTAGACCAGGCCTGTCCAGGGAGGTCTGGGGCGTGGAGCCACGACTGGCAGCTGAGACAGTGGGCTCCAGAGGGGCCTGCCGGGCACCGAATCCCACCTCCCCAGCACAGGGCTTTGGCCAAGTGATGCAGCCTCTTGAAACTCCTCTTCTCCATCCCCAAAGCGGAGCTTGCAGAGTGGTGGTGAGTACTCAGTATGAACGCTGCCTGCACACAGCAGGCGCTCAGCAAATGGTAGCTGCGACCTCTGTCATGGACAGTCAGGAGCTCCTCGTGTCTTTCCTGTCTCTCCCTCCTTTCCTGGAGGGCCCAGCCAGTCCCTCCCCCTCCCTCTCCGTCTCTGCCACTGTCAGGTGTGTTTTCCTCCTGCCCGTGGCCCCCCACTGAGGCTGCCCAGGGCTGTGCCGAGGGAGGCGGCCCTGGCCACAGGCCCTGGAACTCAGCTTTGCTCCTCCTGGGCAGGGCCCCAGGGTAGGGGCTTACGGCAGAGGAGGTGCTCTGGATGTCCCGCTCCGTCTTTCTGTAATTACATCTCCTTGTGGGGTCTGAAGCTCGCGAGGAGGAGGGGTCCCTGCGGGGTGGAGAAGGGGGACAGACCAAGGGTGGATACTGGGGTGAGGACTAGGAGCTGGCTGAGTTCAGGGGGTGTTCAGGCTGCTGAGCCTGTGTGTGTCTGTGCACCTACGTACACGCATGCATCCACGTGCATGTTGGGGTCTGTGCACACAGCTGCATTGGGAGCTGCTTGCAGCTCTGTGGGTATATTTGAGAGTGTCAGGGTTCCAGTGAGAGAGCTGAAGGCGCATGTGTGTGTGGACAAGTTTGGATATGTCCATCTGCGTGCCCTTGTGGGTCCCCGTTCCTCTGGGAGTGCTGCACATACGTATCTGTTTTGAGGTTGCTGTGCACGGGGGTCATAGGTGTGTCTCTGAGGGTCTTGTGTGTCGATGGTGAGTTGGGTGAGGGTGAGCATGTGGATGCGTACATGTATGCTTGCACTTCTGTGTTTGTGTCACGTGTGTGTGTTGGTGTGTGTGGTCAGCAGTTCTCTTGGCCCCTCCGTCTTGTCTGGAGTCCCCTGGGGCCTATGTCACCGTGACAAAGGGCCCAGTTACTTGGTGGTGCTCTTCCTGCCACCGGGGGCGGGGGGGTGGTGGAGGGCGTGTGGCGTGGCTTCTCTTCCTGCCCAAAGCCCTGGTGATTTACATCCAAGCGCAGGGAGCTCTCTTCATTCACCTGCCCCTTAGGGGGCAGCCAGATCACTTTGATCACGGACAGTTCCCCACATCCGCCTGCACCAGCTGTGGCCTCCAGAGACTTCCACCCGAGCGCATCCTTGGAGGGGGACATGGTCTTCCTCCCCTGCCACGGCCACAGCCTGACACCACCTCCTTCTTCCCACCCACAGGGGCCAGGCAGCCCCATCCAGCAGGACATCCCGGGCTTCCTTGGGAAGGAGCCTCCTGCGTATGCTTCATTCCTGCATTCACTTGTTCGTTCCTCATTCACTCATTCAAGCACCAGGGGCTCCCATACTTGCCAGGAAGAGTGGGCGGAGGCACGTGTGAGGCAAAATGAATGATTTTGATGGGGGAGAAAGCCAAGGTGGTTCCCCTTTATGAGCATGGAACTCTGGAACTGCGCCCCCTAAGAAGCCCTCAGTCCCTGCTGTCCCCTAATGGCTTGAACATCTCCCTCTGCGTGTGAGGCTGGACTCCCCACCCTGCCCTACCTACCAGCCCACTCCCTGCTCCCTGAGCTCACCCAGTTCTTGCTGGGGCATCTCCATGCTGAGTGCCTGCTTCTCAGCCCTGTGCTGTGGCCTGTCCTGAGGACACACTGAAGACCCCAGATCTCCTGAAACACTGGGGAGAGGCCCCTGGTCTCATCAGAGTGGGTCCTGGAGCCGGAGCAGGGACCTTGCCGTTGGAGCCTGAAGCACCCAGCACCAGCTTCTCCAGTTGTTTCTTTCTTCACGCACTCATTTGTTCAACATTTTCTTAGCACCAACAATAATCGTGACAAAAATTAAATAATTATTAGGCTCTCACCTTGTGCCAGGCCCTGTGCTAAGGTGGTGGGGTTCTAGGATATTTAAGTCATCTTTTGTTCTCTTTGTGCCTTCTTCCCTAATAGAGTGCTTTGCATATATCATTCTGTAGCTTTGCTCATGCGTTCAACAAGTGCTTGTTAAACACTTGGTCTGTGCCGCATCAAAGGTGAACAGAACACACTTCTGGCCCACTGGGTGCTCAGGCTGCGATGGGGGAGAAGACGGTCAGTCAGCCACAATACAACAGTGTGTTAATTACCCATGTGCTTTTAAGATAAGCTTGGGGGTTGGGGTGGGGGGCTGCACTCATTCTGGGGTGGGAAGAGAGGGCGTCTCAGAAGAGGTGGCACTTAGACAGAATCCTCAAGGATGGAGGGCTGCATAGCTGAGGGTTGGGTCTGGGTTCTCAGCCAAGAAATCTGAAGTCCTACTCCCTTTTCCAGGCATAAGAGAAGCCTCATCATCCCAGGAGCCAAAGTGGTCTTCAAAAAACTTGGATATTTTGATTCCCAATACTACCCCTCATCCTTCAAAAAAACCCACGCCATAGTCCTTCCCCCAGACAACACCATCTCTGTCCTCAGGGGGCTGGTTTCACAACTGCTCAGACTTACTTGTGAGAGTAAGATCCACTCTTTGGAATGAATCTTTAAGAAGATTTGAAGCTTTTTATCTCCATTTTTCTGCCCTTGCTGTGAAAAGGCAGCTGGTAATAGCCCCCATGTGTGGAGACCAGCTGTAGAATCAGCTGGGGTCATGTGTGCTTAGGGCTGATGAGGAATTCCTTGGCCACCCTTGAGCACTGAAGTTGGCAGGAACTGTGTCCCTACATGGTTCTTAGGGTAGGTAAATAGATGAGAAGGTTGTTGGATGGCTAGAAAGATGGATGGATGGATGGATGATGGATAGATGGTTGAGTGGGTGAATGGTTGAATGGGTAGATGGATGAATGGATGGATGGATGGATGGAGTGGGTGGGTAGATGATGGATGGATGGGTGGATGGATGGATGGATGGGTGGGCGGGTGGATGGATGGATAGGTGGATAGATGAGTGGGTGGGTAGATGATGGGTGGGGGGTTGGATGATGGATGGATGGTTGAGTGGGTAGATGGATGAATGTGTGGATGAATGGATGGATGGATGGATGGGTGGATGATCTATGGGTGGGTGGGTGGATGTGTGTGTAGATGGATGAATGGGTAGACAGAGAAGGTAGGGGGATGGATGGATAGACTGATGGATGAATAGATGAATGTGTGGCTGGATGAGCAGATGGAGGATGGAAGGATGGGTAGATGGAGGATGGATGAATGGGTGGATGGATGGGTAGATGGATGGATGGGTAGATAAATTTGCCCTTCCAAGCAGGGCACCCTCCCTCAGCTCCCAGAAAGATTCAACTTGGGATGAGGCAGTTTCCCCAGCTCTAGCAGAGGAGCAGGTCCCTTGGACTGTGGCCTGATGCCCCTTCCCTAGGCTGGCAGAGCTGCACCCAGAGGGAGGTGGGAAGAGAATGGCCTGGGGATACATGGGAGGGGACTTCTGGAAAGCCTTGAGCCAGGCCCTCCAGTAATTTTTGCTTTTCTTTTCTCTAGCTCCTGACTCTCGAATTCATTTCTTTTTGATTTCCAAACAGAAAAAGACGTACCAGTGCATCAAGTGCCAGATGACCTTCGAGAATGAGCGAGAGATACAAATCCACGTTGCCAACCACATGATTGGTAAGAGAGCATTTCTTCACCGGTGCTTGACAGTGCAGCACCAGTCATCGTTTTACTGCCTTTTAGGCCAAAGGACAGAATCACTGTGCTGTTTCCTAGACCTTGCAAATGGGAATAAAATGTCAGAGTGGGAGCGTCTTCTCCATCTCAGCCTTCTTGTCGCGGCTCCACTCACATTGCAATCAAACTTTTGACAGTCTCTTCCATTTCCCAGCATAAATTTCCCTCCATTTCTGAAACAAAGTGCTTTCCAGTTGTCAAGCACTCAGGGGCAATTATGCTTCAATTTCGTATGTCATGACATTGAATAGATTTAACTGCTCATGTTTCCCCACTCAACATGGTGAATTCCTCAAGCACACTGTCAAAACAGAATGCTTACCAACTTATTTCGGTGCTTTTCCTATTCCTCTTCAAGTGGTTTGGCCTTTGGAAAATTCATCCTTTCTAGAAGGGGGGCTTTCAAGGTCCTGGGGAGTTCACACCCTTGGCACAGGGACTGGGGAAGCCGTGAAGCCTTGCTTGCCTCGGGTGGGTGGGCGCGGTCTCCTGGCAGCTGGGGAAGCCCTGTTGGGCGAGAGAGGGCGCAGCTGGATGTTCTGATGGGCGTGGAGGTTCCCGGGGCAGGAGCTGGCTTGGGGTGGGCTGGGGCCTCGGAGAGCTTCTGGAGTCCCGATGCCTTGGTCTTTCCGGATGTGTGATCACCCTCTCCAGGACTCCTGCAGTCGAGCAGTGAGGTTTCGGCTGTGGGCCGAGCGTTCTGCTCCGCACCCCATCTCCGCATTTCTTCTTCTGGCATCTTTTCATTGTAGTCTTAACGGGAGCCGAGCCACCGGAGAACCGCTTTACAAACCCCTTATTGCGTGCCTCCGAAAACCTCCCGCAAGCGTACAGCTTAGTGTGTTCTCACAACACCCAGGTCCAGAAACAGACTATTCCTGGCCCGCTTCAGCCCCTCCCCCACCAGCAGAAGGTCCTCCCTGTGGTCGGAGAGCCTGGGTTGGGTTTGCCTGATTCGTACTTAATATAGGTGGAATCACACAGTTTCATTTGTTTCGCTTTTAGGTTATCGCCTCTAGTTGGAGACTGTTCATTTATCTGTTCGACTCTTGATGGGTCCATTTTGTAGTGTTTCAAATTGTGCTGGAATATTCCTGTACATGTCTTTGGTGACTATATGTATGGGATTTCAATGGGATCATAGGGACATATAGATGTGTATTTGTATATTATATATAAAATACTGTTACAGATACTATGTATGTATAAATACAATGGGAATGTAGGATTAGAAGTAGAATTGCGGGGTCATAGGGGAGACGATGACCACTTTTAGTAGACACTGACAAATTTCCAGAGTGGTCGTATGAGCTTACGCGCCCACCGTCGGTGGTTGGTGCGCGAGCGTCCGGTTGCTCTGCGCCCGCGCGGCGCCACG